GCCAGCAGGAGTGGCCATGCTGGGCTGAGGACGGGGCGCCCGGTGTGTGCGCCTGGCTTTGGCACCCCAGGGGACGTTAACGGGGTCCTGGGGCGGCGGGAAGAGCGCTCCATTGACCTTCCTACAGGCAGAGTGAGTCATCTCTGTCCTCTGGCACCTCACTGAGGGTTGTGGCTGGCAGTTGGCAGTGAAGGAAATGAAAGGGAGGGGACTTGCCCCAGGTTACCCGGCAGCTGGGGTTTGAATCCGGAAGCGAGTTTTCTTCAGTGGCTCTTCTGATTTGTGGGGCATGGAAGGGGTCCCAGCAGAGCGGGGGTGTGGGGTAGAAGGGATCTGCTTAGGCTAGGGAGAAAGGGAGGAGGGACTTTGATAGTTGGGGGGTGTCACCCCAGGGCTCCTGGATGGGACCTGTGCAGTTGGGGGCCCACGGAAGCCAGGAGCCTCCGGACCTGGGTACAAGTCCCAACTGGGCCACTCTGGCGCCCAGTTACCTGGGCGCCCTGCTGCAAAACGCAGGCTGATCGTCCTGTCGTGGGGACTAAAGGGATGGCCACCGTCCTTCGGCCAGATGGGAGTGGGGCGGAGAGCCAAGGCCGCCCAGACTCCGCAGCCAAGACCCCATTTGCCCTCTGGGACTCCGCTTGCCCTCTGGGACTTTGCCCGGCAACCTGCCCGACGCCGTGGCTGATGAGAGCCCACGGCGTCCCCCGTCGTCCTCCCTGTACGCGCAGCCCCGCCCTATCCCGCCCCGCCGTCCCTGGCAGGGAGGGGCCGCGGAAGCCTCCGCCCACCATGGCACGCCCCGCGCCCCCAGAAGTGGGGCTGGGCTTGGGGAACACAGGTGGAGGCTCACAGCCGCGGAGGGCGGCAGGACCCAAAATCCAGGCGCTTCCTTCCCAGGTGGAGGAGGCAGCCAGCGAGAACAGCTTCCTGCAGGGGACGCCCGGCCATCGCACCACTGCGGCCACGGGGACGCTCCCCGCCGGGGCGGGCCTGGAGCAGTGGGAGCCCGAGACACCGGGAGCCCCCGCACCCCTGTGGCCGCCCGGGGCCCAGTGCCTGTGGGCAGGGAGGTGGAATAGGCACCCCACGAGGACCCCCGCCCCCGGGTCGTGGGCGGCCATGACGGCGGGGCAGGGGCCAGGGGCGTGTGTTTCTCCGCCCCCCTAGCTGCCTCACCTGGGGCGGGTGCCTGGCCCGCCTGAGCGAGCACCAGACCTGCACCCCGCCAGCGCGCCCCCAAGCGACCAGGCTAGGAGCGGACGCCCGGCGCTGCGCCCCTTTCCTGGCCTTTCCCCAGGATGCTCACCAAGGATGAGCCCTGTGTGCCCAACGGCCATCACAGGGCAGGAAGAAGTCGCCAAGACAGAGAATCGGTGCCCCAGGCCTCCCAGCCCGCAGTCTTTTTGTTTGTGTGTGTATGTTTGTTTATTTTTGAGACAGTGTCTCACTTTGTCGCCCAGGCTGGAGCACAATGGTACAATCTCAGGTGACTGCAACCTCCGCCTCCCAGGTTCAAGCGAGTCTCCCGCCTCAGCCTCCCAAGTAGCTGGGATTACTGGCGCCTGCACCCGGCTAATTTTTGTACATTTAGTAGAGATGAGGTTTCACTATGTTGGCCAGGCTGGGCTCGAACTCCTGACCTCAAATTATCAGCTTGCCTCAACACTTGGTCTCCCAAAGTGCTGGGATTACAGGCGTAAGGCACTGCGCCCGGCCAGTCTTCACATCTTTCTTTGTCTCCACACTACTGTTAATTTTTTTTTTTTTTAAACAAAATTTGGACCACTATGCAGAGTTTTGCAATCTACATTTTTTTATTGTTTAGCAAAATATCTTAAACTTTCCTTGTTCCTGCATGTAGACCAACTGCATTCTTTAATAGCTGTTAGCATTCTAGGCTATGACTTTTCTTTTTTCTTTTTTTTTTCTTTGAGACAGGGTCTTCCTCTGTTACCCAGGCTGGAGTGCCTAAGCTTGATCATGGCTGACTGAAGCATCCTGGGCTCTGGCCATCTTCCTGCCTCAGCCTCCTGAGTAGCTGGGCCTGAAGGTGCACACTACCATGCCCTGCTTTTTTTTTTTTTTTTGGTAGAAATAGGGTTTCCCTATGTTGCCTGGGCTGGTCTTGAACTCCTGGGCTCAAGCAGTCCTCCTGCCTTGCTCAGCCTCCCAAAGTTCTGGGATTACAGGTATGAGCCATTTGTTTGCCCATTTTTAAATTGAGCTGTTCATCTTGTTATTGATTTGTAAAAACTCTTTATATATTTTGGATAAAAATTATTTGTCACATACAGTATTGCAAATATTTTCTTTTTTCCTTAATGATATATTTTGATAAAGTCTAATTTATCAATTTTTTCTTTAGTGTTTAGCTTTTTTTGTGTGTGCTTTCTAGAAAAATCTTTGCACCAAGGTGGCAAAGATATGCTTGTTTCTAGAGCTTCTAGCTTTACAGTTAGGTCAGTGAACCACCTTGAGTTAAATTATGTGTAGTGAGATAAGTGTTGAGCTGCTTCCCTTTTCCATACATTTGTCCAGTCGTTGCAGCACCATTTGCTGAGCAGACTTTCGTTACTGAATTGTCTTGGAATTTTTGTTTTGTACAGTCAACTGACTTTATGCTTCTGCATCTAGACCCTACATTTTGTTCCATTGGTTTAATTATATTTATGTCAAATCCTACCCTATTTTAATTACTATAGCTTTTTGGTAAAGCATAAAGGTATACCAGGCTTCTAGCTTGAGCCATCCCACCTGGCTTGATCTTCTTTTTGAAGGTTATCTTAAATATTCTACTTTGCATTTCCATATATATTATAATCAAATTCTCAACTTCTTTTTTAAAAATTATGTTACCATTTTGATTGGGATTAAATTGAATCTATCAGGTCAATTTGGAGATAACTAACATCTTTAAAATATTTAATCTCCCAGTCCATGAAAATGGTATACCTTTTATTTTGGTCTTTAACATTTTCTTTTTATTTTTTTTATTTTTATTTTTATTTTTTTGAGACGGAGTCTCGCTCTGTCACCCAGGCTGGAGTGCAGTGGCCAGATCTCAGCTCACTGCAAGCTCCGCCTCCCAGGTTTACGCCATTCTCCTGCCTCAGCCTCCCGAGTAGCTGGGACTGCAGGCGCCCGCCACCTCGCCCGACTAGTTTTTTGTATTTTTTAGTAGAGACGGGGTTTCACAGGGTTAGCCAGGATGGTCTCGATCTCCTGACCTTGTGATCCGCCCGTCTTGGCCTCCCAAAGTGCTGGGATTACAGGCTTGAGCCACCGCGCCCGGCCTAACATTTTCTCTGAGCAATGTTTTTGAGTTTTCAGTCTTTTATATCATTCATTAAATTTATTTCTACTGAATGTGTTCTTTTATGTTACTGTATTTTAAAAGTTTACAAGTTGCTTTCTGTTAGAATATAGTAATGCAATGATTGTATATTGACCTTATATCTAGTACCTTATAGAAAAAAACTAGAAAAATATTCTAGTTTTTAAAATAGATTCTTCAGGATTTATATAAATGGTCTTGCTGTCTTCTAATAAAGACGGCTTTGCCTCTTCCAGTACAATCATCTTTTTTTTGCCCCTCCTGTTCTGCTGAACCAGTACAATCTTTATGCCTTTTTTTTCCCTCTATTGCCCTGGCTAGAATCTCTAGTACAATGTTAATAGTAAGGGAGAAAGTGAATATCCCTGTCTTGTTCCCATTCTTAGGGGGAAGGCAATTAGTCTTTCACCATTAAGTATGATGCTTGTTGTGGGTTTCTTGTAAATGCCCTTTATGAATTTGAGGAAGTTCCTTTTTTCTGCATCTATCGAGATGATCATTGCTCTTCTCCATTGTTCTACTGATATGTTAAGTTACATTGATTGAATTTTGAATGTTAAATTCACCTTGCATTTTGCAACCCCACTTGGTCATGATATATTAACCTTTAAAAATATTGCTGGATTCGATCTGCTAATATTTTGTTTAAGAAAGTTGCATCTGTGGTTTTGTTTTGTTTTGTTTTGTTTTGTTTTTGAGACAGGGTTTCACTCTTGTTGCCCACGCTGGAGTGCAATGGCACAATCTTAGTTCACTGCAACCTTTGCCTCCCAGGTTCAAGCAGTTCTCCTGCCTCAGCCTCCCGAGTAGCTGGGATTACAGGCATGCACCACCACGCCCGGCTAATTTTTTTTGTATTTTTAGTAGAGATGGGGCTTCTCCATATTGGTCAGGCTGGTCTCAAACTCCTAACCTCAGGTGATCTGCCCACCTGGGCCTCCCAAAGTGCTGGGATTACAGGCGTGAGCCACCGTGTCCGGCCCTTTTGTTGTTGTTGAATTGAAGTTTTTGAGGAACAGGTGGTGGTTGGTTACATGGATAAGTTCCTTGGTGGTGATTTGAGATTTTTGTGTACCATCACCTGAGCAGTGTACACTGTACCCAATGTGTAATCTTTCATCCCTTGCCCCTGTCTCACCCTTCCCCTCTGAGTCCCTAAAGTCCATTGTATCATTCTCATGCCTTTGCATCCTCATAGCTTAGCTCCCACATATCAGTGAGAACATATGATGTTCTCCATTCTTAGAATAATGGTCTCCAAATTCTCTCCAGGTTGCTGTGGATACCATTACTTCATTCCTTTTTTTTTTTTTTTTTCTTTTTTTTGGAGGCAGAGTCTTGCTCTGTCGCCCAGGCTGGAGTACAGTGGCCGGATCTCAGCTCACTGCAAGCTCCGCCTCCCGGGTTCACGCCATTCTCCTGCCTCAGCCTCCCGAGTAGCTGGGACTACAGGCGCCCACCACCTCGCCCGGCTAGTTTTTTGTATTTTTTAGTAGAGACGGGGTTTCACCGTGTTAGCCAGGATGGTCTCGATCTCCTGACCTCGTGATCCACCTGTCTCGGCCTCCCAAAGTGCTGGGATTACAGGCTTGAGCCACCGCGCCCGGCCACTTCATTCCTTTTTATGGCTGAGTAGTATTCCATGATGTAAATACACCACATTTTCTTTATCCACTCGCTGATTGATGGGCATTTGGGCTAGTTCCATATTTTTGCAATTGCGAATTGTGCCGCTATAAATATGCACATACAAGTGACTTTTTCATATCATGACTTATTTTCCTCTGGGTAGATACCCAAGGAATTTTGCATCTATATTTCTGATGGAAATTGATCTATAATTTTTCTTTCCTTTAAGATCTTTGTCAACTATAGGTTCATGCTGGTCTCCTAACATGAGTTTGGAAGGGTTCTCTCCTCTTCTATTCTTCTGAAAGGGTTTCTGTAAATTCTATTATACCATACTTAAGGGTTTATTAGAATTAACTAGTGAAAGCAATTCAGCCTAGAGAGCTCGTCTTTCTGGGAGATTTTTGACTACAAACCAATTGCCTTTATAGACGTAAGACTCCTCAGATTTTATTCCTCTTTGTGTTGGTTTCATGAAGTTATTTTTAAGAAATTTGCATATTTTATCTAAACTAGTTATTCATAATATCTTTGTGATGTATGTAAGATTTGCATCCCATTTCATTCCTGATACTGGAGTGAAATTCGTGCATGGGTGTGTTTTTCTTGATCAGCCTTGATAGGGGTTATCAATTAGAGAACCAACTTTTGCCTTTGCTGATCGTGTTCCCTTTCATTGAGTTTTGGTCTTTATTGTTACCTTCCTTTACTTATTTTGTTTAAATATTCATTTATTTTCTACATTCTTATGATTAAAATTTAGATAGCTGATTTGAAACCTTTCTGCTAATAGAGGCATTTAAAGTTATAACTGTTCTCCTTAGCTACATCTCATACATTTTGGTTTTTAATCTTCTTTAAAAATGAAGAGATAGCATCTCCCTGTGTTGCCCAGGCTGGTCTCGAACTCCTGGGCTCAAGGGATCCTCCTGCCTTGGCCTCCCAAAGTGCTAGGATTATAGGCATGCGCCACTATGCCCGGCCTGCATCCCACACACATTCTGATATATTGTGTTTTCACTATCATTCAGTTCAAAATATTTTCTAATTTCCTTTGTGTTTCTTCTTTGACTGATGGGTTATTTTGAAGTATGTTGTTTAATTTCCCAAGAAAATTTTAATTTTGGGATTTTTAGGCATATTATCACTGTTGATATTCCATTCCATTTCTGTGTCATCAGAGAACATAGTCTGTAATATTTAAATCTTCAAATTTCTTTTATAGCCCAGCATGTGATCCAGCTTGATCCCAGCATATGATCCAGCTTGATGAACGTTCCCTGTGCACATGAAAAGAATGGATATTCTTCTGTTGTTGGCTGTAGTGTTCTATGTCAGGTCAGGCTGGTTGACAGTGTTGCTAAATCTATATCCTTGCTAATTTTTTATTTACTTTTTCTATCAATTTCTGAGAGAAGAGTGTTAAAATCTCTATGATTGTGGATTTTGTCTATTTTCTCCTATAGTTCTACCATGCTTGCTTCATAACTCTTAAATCTCTATTATTAGTTAATTCATCTTCTTGATGAATTGACCTTGTTATTATTATGCTTTCCCTGTTTGTTTCTTGTAGTATACCATGAGGTATGTTTTGTCTGATAGTAATATAACCATACCAGCTTTCTAATACTTACTGTTGGCATAGTAAAACTTTTTCTTTTTCTTTGTTTTCAGACAGGGTCTCACTCTGTCACCCAGGCTGAGTGCAGTGACATGATCACAGTTCACTGCAGCATTAACCTCCCAGGCTCAAGCGATCCTCCCACCTCAGCCCCGTGAGTAGGTGGGCTACAGGTCCACACCACCACACCCGGCTAATGTTTTAATGTTTTTATAGAGATGGGGGTCTCACTGTGTTACCCAGGCTGGTCCTGAATTCCTGGGCCCAAGTGATCCTCCTGCCTCAGCTTCCCAAAGTGCTAAGATTATAGGTGTGAGCCACCACATCCAGCCTAAAACTTTTTTCTTTTTTTTTTTTTTTTTTTTAGGCAGAGTCTCGCTCTGTCGCCCAGGCTGGAGTGCAGTGGCCGGATCTCAGCTCACTGCAAGCTCCGCCTCCCGGGTTCCCGCCATGCTCCTGCCTCAGCCTCCCCAGTAGCTGGGACTACAGGCGCCCGCCACCTCGCCTGGCTAGATTTTTGTATTTTTTAGTAGAGACGGGGTTTCACCGTGTTAGCCAGGATGGTGTTGATCTCCTGACCTCATGATCCGCCCGTCTCGGCCTCCCAAAGTGCTGGGATTACAGGCTTGAGCCACCGCGCCCGGCCAAACTTTTTTCATCCTTCTACTCTTACCTCATTTGTGTTTTTATATTTAAAGTGAGTCACTTATAGACAACTTATAGTTGGGTTTCCTTTTAGATCTAGTTTGACAGCCTCTGCCTTTTAATTGGAGTATTGCATCCATTTACACTTAATGTAAATTATCAATATGGTTAGGTGGAGGTCTATCATCTTGCTACTTATTTTCTACTTGTCATATCTGGCTTTTTGTTCCTCTGTCACTGCTTTCCTGTCTTTTTTGGTAAATCTTTTTTAATATTTAATTTTGTAGCCATCCCTGTGGGGATGTCAGTGATGCTCAGGCCCCACTACCTGCACCATTGTCCTACTGCATCTCCTTTGAGCCTCCTGTCAACCTCTGCACACAGGGCCTCAGCCCCTAGCCCCGGATGCCCACCACTAGACCCAGCAGAACCGTAGCAGTGGTTTGCTGGCCCAGCACCTAAAGCCGCACAATACGCCTCCTTGGCCCTCAGGGAAAGATGCAGAGCTAGTGCAACTTACTCTTCTCCACTACAAAAGTAAGGTGAGTTTACCCCCTCCCTCATCCCAGGATCCTCCCTGAATGGGCCAGGGGCTAACACATCTCAGGACCACCAGCCTCAGCCCCTCCCAGTGCCTTGTTAAAGGTGAGAGCACTGGCGGAAAGAAAGGCTGCATGCCAGGGCAAGAGCAGCTTCTGAGGGCCTCCCGAAGGCCAGCCCTACCTTCTTGGAGGGAGGAGTATATTCCCCCAACCTCTGCTTTGCTCTTAGTACTTGGACCACAGGATCCTGGGTGTAAAATGGGGGTGATCCTCTCCATGCCACAGGGTCCTGAGGGTTATACACAACCGTGCCCCTAAAGCCCCTGGCACAGCACCTGACCGGGGCACACAGGCAACACACCGGCAACAAACAGGAGCTGGGAGAGTTTCCTGTGGCTGCCAGAACAAACCCCGCAAACAGGTGTGGCGGTGGGGGTCATGCACCTGACATTTATTTTCTCACCATTCTGGAGGCCAGAAGTCTGAGATCCAGGGGCCGGTAGGGCCACACCCACTCTGAAGGCTCCGGGGGAAGAAGCGTCCTGGCCTCTTCCAGCTCCCCATGGCTCCAGGCTCCCGGGCTTGTGGCTGCATCGCTCCTGCCTCTGCCCCTGTCTTCACGTGGCCTCTCCTTATGTGTCTTTTCCTCTCCTCCTTAGGACATTTGTCGCTGGATTTAGGGCCCGCCCAGAATCCAGGAGGGGCTCATCTTCAGATCCTTAATTACATCTGCAAAGACCCTTTATCTAGGTAAGGTCAGATTCACAGGTCCCGGGGGTCAGGACATGGACATATGTTTTTGAGGGCGCCATTCAACCCGCAACAGCAGCCATCACATTCTCATTTCTCCTCCCTTAATGTTTTCACGGGCCCAGCACACAGGCCAGGATGGAGCATTCTTTGAGATGTTCCTGGGAGCCCAGCAACAGACTGGGTGTTCGGTGTGCCCCTGTCGGTCTCCATGTGGGCCCTGCAAGAAGGAACACCCCCGTTTTACAGGGGATTCAGGGCTTGTGGCCAGATCTGCAGCTAGGCCTGGATCAGGCTCCCATCCGGCCCCAGTGCATCTGCCGTGCCTGTGACCCCAGGCTGTGTCTCTAAGAATCCACCAAGCTTCCAGGGCAGATAACTGCAGAGCTCCTCGCAGTCCTATGCACGCCTCGGCTCACACTGCAGCTCAGCGGCAGCAACGCAGGCAACAGAAGCCAGCCCTGTGTCTGTGAGCCTCTGCCTTGCCTTCTGGGGGATGGCACAGTATTGCTCCAAGACATGCAGACAGCTGCAGACAGCAGAGACAGTGAGGCAACCCTGCCGCACTCTCCAACCATGCCCTCCTCAGCCATGCGGAGAAAGCACCCCTTCATCTGTGCAAGCAATCCTCAAGAAGTAGACAAAACTCACGCACTTTTAATTCAGATGTTACAGTCACATCCAATGCTAAGGGCTGTCCTTTGAAAACAGCTGATGTACACACATCTTCCAAGAACAAATCATGGAAATGTTACCAGGTGATTGTCTCTACAGCCTCTGCCTCAGTGATGGGGACTTGGGGTAAGCTTTTGGTTGGCGTCGTGAACAGTGCCCGCTCCCTAAAGCAAGCTTTCTTTTCTGTTGTTTGAAATACGGCAGGAGAACTTAAATTCTATTAAAATATTTCTGGATCAAGAGAAATACTTTTTTGTCCCAATTTAATTCAGGTTTCTAAAGCAGAGGCAGGGACGGCATCACAGTCTGTTGAATGAATTCTGGCTCATTTGGGGCCTTTCCATGACAAATCGCTCCTAATGGAATCTCTCCGAAGCACAGGGAAAAACATCGAAGGCATCAGAGTGCCCTTTCCATTTCAGTAAACACTGGCCGGGATTCTATTTGCATCACACAGAATCAACATGGAACCCAGGCCTGCCCAGCACATATTCTCCCTGGCTAGCACCTCGTTCACCTCTGTTTTCTCTTTTATATGAGTGACCATTTCCTAAAACGCAATACCCTGTCAAGTAAGATCTTGGAAATTATCACCATGGAGAAAAGACCTGAAGAATCTGCATTAAAATAACGTGACCGGTGCCTAGAGTGAGGAAGGAGCCCGTTCAGAATGGTCCTGGGTCATTTTCAAGACCTTCCCCCAGTCACTGTTGGGTGAAGTGAGGAAGCTGGACATCAGTGTTTAGTAAACCAAATTTATTCTCCACAAGCTGAAGATACCTGAGGTTATATGAGGACTGGCATTAAATAATGTATAAATGTATTTCTGACAGGCTTTTATCACAAGGATTCATGTATTTACAGAAGCAAAACCCAACCTCTCCCCAGCTAGAAAGTGGAAAGGTGTTCCCGCTGCAGGCACAGCCTTGGGGGAGGATGAGGCCACACAGTTCTGCTCCGCCCACATTCTCAGACCGCCCCAAGGAGTTAGTGGCTAACTAACTCCAAAGCTGAGCCTTGGGGGAAAACCTGGTCCATGGTGTGGACTCTCCAAAATGCAGACCCAACCAGAGACCGGGCCCACCTTTCCATCTGGAGGCACTGCAGAGTTTCTGAAAGTGGCCCATCCCAGGAGCCTGGCAAACACTCCCAGAGACCCTCAGGATGAGCCAGCCCTGGGGCTGTCTTGGGAAGCCAGGGCTCCATGGCCCAGCTTGTGGATGGGTGCCCAGGGGGCAGGTCCCACGCCCTCAGCACGTGCTGAGATGCTCCCTCCAGCTCCAACAACCACACCAGAACCTTCCATAGAACATTTAAGTAATGAAATCTCAACATTACAGTAAAAAGGTGCAAAGGGTCTCTTTTGCAAATATTTCTGTACAGCTAAGATCTGGCTGAGTTCAGTAAAGCATCTTGCATGTACACATGTGCAGTGCGCACACGGGTTCCGGGAAACTGAACGGCACACTGGAAGACGAGATCATATATGATGGTATTTTCCTGTTGATCCCGTGTAGTTTCCTGAGCATGATATTTTAGATGGAACTTTTTCTGGTCTGTGATCTTTGGTAGAAAAAAGGTCTCTAGGATTATTATAAAAATTTTACATTTATTAAAAAGAAAAGGAAAAAAGACAGCTTGCCTCAGCTGGCCCAACCCCTGTCCCAAACACCTGATCCCAGGGTGGTCCCCTCCATCTGAGTAGGCCCTGTCCACCTTCTCTGATGGGAGAGAGACCACAGTGGTTACCTGAACCACCCTTCTCCCAGGCCTCTCTGGAGGTCCCGGGGCCTCCGGCTCACTGTCATGTGCCCAGCCCAGTGTTCCTCGGTGACTCATAAGGACTGGGTGAGTGAATGAATGAAGTAAGGAAAGGTAAAACCAGAGACGTGAGGGCCACGGGTCACCTGTGACTCGGCCAAGCTGCTGGCTTCAGTGCCAGCCCCTGGTTGTGGATTCCAGAACTTTCTAGGCAACACACAAAGTAACCTCCCAGCAGAGGTTATCACAAACAAGATGCAGCTGCCCGCCTGAGACACACCCCAGCAGGAAACACCCTTGGTGCAGTCTAACCGGGGTGCCCGAAGGCCTGAGAGAAGGTGTGTGGCCATGGGTCTTGCTGCTGGCCACACGGTAAGCGGGCTCCACGCCGAGCCTGGGCTGCCCTGTCCCGCCACTCCTCCAGGCTTCTGATCCTGGCGGGCTCTAGGGGGCAGCCCGTCCCCACACATAGGGCATGGTTCCACTCAGCAGGCTCAGCCACGTTTATTCCCCTTTCCAGATGGCGATCTTCCCCTCCTCCCTGCCCGACCCACTCAGCACGTATCTGTCCTCAGCCGAGCACAGTGTCCTCACGGTGTCCATGTGTGCTACCAGCTCCTTCTCCACGGTCTTCCTCTCCGCATCAATCACGTAGATTTTCCCCCTGGGTGTTCCCTGCCACAGCCCTCGGCTGCCCACCCAGACCTGCCAAGGAGACACAGGAGTGGTCAGTGGGAAAGAAGCCCCTCCAGGCATGCCAGGCCTTTGCCCGGCTACCCGGAATGGACGCGTGTGCCCCCAAATCTACAGCCTTCCTGGAGAGGGGCTCTGCCGCCTGAGGGTCAGGGCCACCTGGCAGGTGCAGAGGACCTTTCTCAGGCTTAGAACTTAATGGCCAAGGGGCCTCTAGGGAACAAGACTGCACTGCGTGCTGGAAAGGTGCTGGGGGTGCATCTTAAGTGTTCTCACCAAACAAAAAACGCCACCTGTGTGAGGTGACAGATATGGTAATTAGCTTGTGATTATTTCACAATGTATATCGAAATATCACCTTGTATACCTTAGATATATATAATTTTGTCAATTATATCCCAATTAAGTTATGGGGGAAAATGCTAAATGAATTCTCCTCTCCCGCCCCCGCCCCACCATGTCTCAGACTTGCTCGGGGCCTGGAAGTCCAGCTTTCCTTCCAATTTCTCCCTTTTCAGATGAGAAAGTCTAGCCTCTGCCTGGCCCAGCCTTGTATTTTGGGAAGAGACGACTGTTTCTAGCTGTGCAGGTTCACCGTGGAGGAGAGGTGAGTTCTGCCCCAGGTGGGACCCGCCCACAGCTCACCCACATCGGAGGGCACTGGCTTCACTTGGACATCTGGGGCTCAGAACTGATGCTGGAATGGGCTAGGACTTCGGGGGATGCAGTGATGGAGGGGTGTATTTTGCATGTGGGACAGATGTGGATTTGGGGGGCCAGAGGGCAGACTCTAATGGGTTGAACGGTGTCTCCCCAAATCCATGTCCTCCCTGAACCTCAGAATGTGAGCTTCTTTGGAAACAGAGTCTGCAGATAGTTCAGATGTGGTTAATCCAGTATGACCAGCATCCCCATAAGAGACACACACACGGAGAGAGAGCGCCGTGTGGCGCAGGCACAGATTAGAGTGCCACGTCCACAGTCAGGGCACGCCAAGGACGGCAGCCACATGAGTGGGTGGTGGAGAGAAGGGCCTGGAGTGCACGCTCCCCCCGAGCCCCCGAGGGAAGCAGCTCTGGTGACACCTTGGTTTTGGACCTCCGGCCTCGAGAACTGTGAGAAAATTAAATTCTGTCATTTGAAGCCATCCAGTTTGGGGGAATGCACTGTGGAGTGCTTGGACCACACCATGAAACCAGCACATGGTGACCTGTGGGCCCGCTGGTGCCAACCCTGCGCGTGCCTATTAGGAGGGAGGCCTAAGAGGCTAAGGCAGGAGGGCACGAGGGCGTGCGGCTGGCTCTCGGGAGCATGGGGACGCAGTCAGGCAAGTGAGACCTGGAGGGGAGACGGGGTGGCGGGCCCTCCACCCTACCTGCTTCTTCACCCGGATCATGCAGATGATCTCAGAGCAGTCCTTGAGGGGCACCCTCTGCGGGGGCTGGGCCAGGTCCTTCGGGCTCCAGATGTAAACCTCGCTGCGTCCTGCACAGGCCGCCCACAGCTGCTCCTGCTGAAACACAGGGCATGGTGTGGGCTGTGGGCCCCAGGCCACGCGCATGCTAGGCCCACAGCCCCTGCTGGGATACCTCGGGAAGGAGCTGGAAGGCCAGGAAGGAGGTACTGATGTCTTTGAAGTGCTCCTCAATCTTTAATTCTTGACAGAGGAATCCATTCGTTGTCATGACCATGATGCTGTTACCTGTGCCTGCAGAAGGAAGGCGTTAGGATGGGGCTAGGCAGCGCCATTGGCAACGTAAGAGGCCAGCACCAGAGCCGGGCCCACTGCTCTTTCCAGCGTGGTGACAGCGGGATCGCCATGTGCCACATGGCGCCTGAGGTGCGTACTGGTGAGGTTACCAGGAAAAAATGCAAGATAGAAACCTGGGTCTTTAAGAAGAAATGAAGGTCACCAGAAAAGGTAAATATGTGGGCAATTTCTTAATTTTTCTTAATTTTCTTGAAAGATCCTTGACTGCTTAAGCAAAAAATTGTAAGGAATATATTATTGGGATTACCACAGTTGACACTGTTGTAAACTTCTTACCCTATCTGTGAAGCAGTATCATAGTTAGTTAAGGAGGAGGGTGGTCAGTTAAGGTTGCATATTGCAATTCTTAGAGCAACCACTGAAAAATAAAACAAAAATATAATGCTTAAAAACAATAAGATTAAATTGAACATAAAAATATTCAATACAAAAGAGGGCAAGAAAGGAAGACAAAACAAACAACAGATGAGGTGAAGAAGGACAATTGCTGGCTTGCACCCAACCACGTTGCTACTGGCCCTGAAAGTGAGCGGAACAGTGGGCAGGGGCCTGCACGGGCACTGTTCCAGAGGAGGCGTCGGTGGGCACCGGGCACATGACAGAGTGCTCAGCACCATCAGCCATGAGGGAGCCACAAATCCAAACCACAGGACACCACTTCACGCCTGCTGGGATGGTGTCAGTAAAAACAGGTGAGAACCAGTTTGGGTGAGGATGTGAAGAAACGAAGCCTGAGACTGCTGGTGGGGTGGAAGCTGATGCCACCACTTCAGAAAACAGTCTGACAGTTTTTCAAACAGTTAAGCAGAGTTAACCCAGTGCCCACTTGGGGCAGGGGAAGGATGAGCAAGTTGTTCCATATGCACACAATGGAATATTACCCTGCAAGAAGGAACGAGCTATTGATATTGATACTCAGAACGTCAGCGATGAATACTGTAAACATTCTGCTGACTGAATAAAGCCAGATACAGAAGAAGGCATACTGTAGAGTCCATTTATAGAAAGTTCTGTAAAAATCAAATTCAGAGTGACAGAACTAAGAGCACTTGTATCCCTGGAATGGGAGCATGGCCTGGAAAGGGACACAGACGCTTTCAGCTGTGATGGAAACGCTGCATATCTTGACTTGTTTCATGGTTATGTAGTTTAGATGTTTGTCAAAACACAACAAACTGAGCAGTTTTTGGCAGGCTTTACTATATGTGAAACATGCTTCCATTACAAAGAAGAAAATGTATTTCCAGCCATCACTCATGTAATCTGGCACATACCGAGGAAGACCTCAAAGTGCAGGCAACTTCCGTGCTCTGGGGTGTCCAGAAATGCAGACACAGCCGCCAGGCAAAGCGCCTGCTCCTCCCATCACCCCCTGGCAAAATGCCCAGTCTGGGTCCACGGAGAGTCCCAGGCTGCAGCTCTGTGCCAAGCGGCCGAGGGTTACAGGGCATGGGCTTGCCAGCTGCCCCCAGGTGTGGAGACATGACACACACAGAGGCCTCCCAAGAGGAGCAGCCGTGACTCCGGGGGACACCTGGGCCAGCTTCAACCCCAGAGCAGGGCACAGCGAAAGCCAAGGTGAGGGGCAGGAGAGCAGTGGTGCCTCCGGGCAAGGCAGGCGTCCCGTCAGCCGCCGGGTGGAAAAGCTGAGGGAGGCCTGGGGAACCCGCAGGAGCAGCAGTGCAGGTGGAGTAAAGGTTTCTGTGGCCACAGAAAGGGAACCCAAGTTTAAAATAAAGACTGGAAAGGCGTGAAGCAAAGGAAGGAGGCTTTCTGCTCTCGTTCAGCATCCTTTTCCCAGAGCAGGGAGGTAGGCTGCCCGCTCTGAGGGCAAGGGCCAGACTTACAGCACCACAGGCGGTCGCCGTGCAGTCTGATGGACGTGAGGCCGCTGCTTGACAGCTGGAAGCGGCCGGTCACCTGCAGTGTGCTCACATTCCACGCCAGCACCGTGCCGTCCATGCTGCATGAGTACACCTCGCTGGGGGCACAAAACACACACCCACACACCTTTAACTCGGGCCCTTGAAAACACTGCGCAAGTTTTAACCCAGGGAAGAACCAAGTCGCCATGAGAGAAAATGTGCTCAACATGAATAACCTGCAAACATGATAATAACATGCAAACATACTGTGAATGCAGCCACAGCCAGGCTTGGCTCAAATGTAACTGACTCGGCAGAAAAAGGCGGGTTTCTCGGGACATCCACCTCTCCCACTACCGCAAACCGCAGGCTCAGTGAGGTATTGGTCATAGAACCACGACATGACCATGAACTGAAATGGAACCTCGTCACAAGGGACCAGGGAGCCAGCACGCTCCTCAGAGCTCTCAGGTGACATGGGCTGGCTGCAGGTGCAGGTGCAGGTGCAGGTGCAGGTGGCTGTGGGGCGGGGCTGGGCTCGAGCCTGCACCCTGCACCACCCTTGCACCTCCTGAGCCAGCTTTGTTTCCAGCCTAGCACCTCCCTTCCCACCCCAGCAGGGCCTGACACAGGCACCCCTGACACTGAGTCAGGGGAAAAAGGAGTGGGGAGTGGAGCTCCTCCCCCAGGGCTGGGGCTGCCTGGACCAAGCGGGCAGCCTTGAGCACCTTCCCCACCACGGGCCTCTGCTTGAGGAGACCGCATCTCCTCCTCCCATCTCCCTAGATGCCCACTGTGTCCACTGCTGCTCCCACTGTGGGACACGGCAGCAAACCGGCAGCCCAAGGCCAACACTGAGCACGCAGGCGATTCCCAGGCGAGTCCAGGCTTCTGACACCATGGCTGGTGCTCCTCTGGGAGGCTGTGCCCTCTCGGGGCTGCCCCAGGTCACCATGCCCACAGCAAGCTCAGCAGGAAGGCCAGGTGTGGAGCCTTCATCACCACGCTTGGCCCCCGTTGGTCTCATGGGTTCTCCGCACCTGTGAGCAGAAGCGGACCGAGGACACCACCCAGCTTTCCTCGTTCCAGATCCACTTCACTCTGTACGCCCTGCCTGGCCCCTGTGGGCATAAGCCTTGGGAGCCCTACCCGCTGTACCCTCTGCCCACCCTTGAGCCAAACAATCCCTTCTCCCCAGCAGAGCCCACCTGCACCTGGGTGCCCTGTGTCCATCCTGCACAATCAAGGCCGTGACACTGGAGCAGTGGTCTGTGAGCTGCTTGTTGCAGGACATGCTGTGGACGTTGATGATGTAGATGACGGAGTCTTCCGAGCCAACCCACACCTGGTTCTGGTCGGCCATCACCATGCAGTTCTAATGGGAGGCCACGGGAATGTGAGAAATCAGTCAGTTTCGATACTGGTGAAGTCATATTCTATACATTGACTGCAAATGCTGAATTAGCAGATATGGAGCCACTGCTCCTAGGGGACACGCCAGCTCAGGGTCCTGGGAGCCTCTGGCCCTGACATTCTCATCCACCTATCAGTGCATAACCTTGTTCTCTGCGTGCTTTGTTTACAGACACCTCATTGACTATGTATGGTTGATTCATTAACACGGAACCCACGGCTGCCAGCACTATCACTGCAGCCTGAAGCTCATCTCACACATGCGTTTTCTCTGCAAGACACGTCAACGCCTCCTCGTGCTTAGGGGGCTCGATGCTTGAGGCTATCTGAAATGGCAAAATCACCAACAAAATCAAAACGTGTGAAAACCGTGGCACCAATCAGGCCAAGGAAAGGACACCCATTGGCCCAGAAAATACACATCGGGCGACTCAAGTTTCTCCCCACTCTGTGCACATGCATGTCTATGGATCGCCAAGAAAATGCCACGAGTATCTGTTTTGGGAGTTACAAGTAAATATTAGCAGGCAGTCGAATTTGCAAATACAGAATCTCTAAATGATGAGATCGATTATATATAAACGAGCAGAACTGGCAGCGCTCCCAGGGTCTAGAGGGTGTGCTCAGGGTTTCTGGCTAAGCAAAACACAATGATTGCGTTTAGACTTTTTGAAATCAGAATTTTTTAAATTTAAATTTTAATTTTTTGAAACAGGATCTCACTCTGTCACCCAAGCTGGAGTGCAGTGGCATGATCATGGCTCACTGCAGCCTCAGCCTCCTGGGCTCAAGCAATTCTCCCGCTTCAGCCCCCCGAGTAGCCGGGACTAGAGTCATGCGCCACCACGCCTGGCTAGTGTTTGGCATTTTTAGTAGAGATGGTGTTTCCCCATGTTGCCCGGGCTGGTCTCGAACTCCTGGATTCAAGCAATCTTCCTGCTTCGGCCCCGCAAAGTGCTGAGATTATAGGTGCCAGAGCCACTGCGCCCAGGCTTGACATGCTTATAACTAAGAATGAGCTGAAAAAAATTAAATTTAGAAAAATAATTTCCCTAATTTTTCCTTTTTTTTTTTGTTTTGTCTAAAGCATTACTAGACTTTTGTCAATATTTTTACTGTATCATGGATCTTATTTATCATCTGAGACTCATGATTTGAATATGGGGGGAAATGACTTAGCAATCTCTTATTACCTTGCTAACATGTAAAGTTTGCTATTCAGGTATCTCAGAGTGGTCCCACCCTCTTGGTGGTATGTATTTGAATTCACAGTATTTGTTTTACAGCAGTTTTGCAAGCACATACTATACCATGGATTGCCACATTATTTTTAGACAAGGGAAAACAGCCATCAAAATTGATACCACGGCCGAGTGTAGTGGCTCACACCTGTAATCCCAGCACTTTGGGGGTCCGAGGCGGGAGGATTGCTTGAGCCCAGGAGTTTGAGACCAGCCTGAGCAGCATGGTGAAACCCATCTCTACTCAAAATACAAAAATTAGCCAGCTGTGGTGGTGCGCACCTATAACCCCAGCTACTCGGGAGGCTGAGGCGGGGGGATCGCTTAAGCCAGGAGGTCCGGGCTGCAGTGGGCAGTGACTGCACCACCGCACTCCAACCATGGGCAATGCGAGTGAGACCCTGTCAAAAAAAAAAAAAAAAAAAGATACCAACCAATGCCTAATATATACTTAGGTATATACCCCATTGGAGTGTTCTTTTCACTAAACATGGAAAAAAAAATAAATCCTATCATGCTGGAGGAATAAGGCATGAGAGTTTCTCGGCAGATCCCATGATGCGG